TGGAATTCCACATAGGCACCTCTCCTAGTCCCAGGCAGCCTGCTTCCATCCAGCTCCCTGCTTGTGGCCTGGGAAAACAGTCAAAGACAGCCCAAGGCCTTGGGACCCCACATCCACATGGGAGACGTGGAAGAAGCTCCTGACTCCTGGCTTTGGATTGGCGTAATTCCAGCTGTTGCGGCCGCTTGGGGATTGAATCAATGGAAGGAAGATCTTCCTCTCTGTATACCTGACTTTCAAATAAAAACAAACAAATCTTTTTTAAAAAATTAGCACCACCATGTAATATCAGTGCCCTTTTTTTTTTTTTTTTATTAGAAAGGCAAATTTAAGAGAAGGATCTTCCATCTGCTGGTTCTCTTCCCATGGCCACAATGGCCAAGGCTGCTGGTTTGGAGCCAGGAGCTAGGATCCACGAGCCACTTTGAGGTCTCCTATGCGGGTGTAAGGTCCCAACGATCTGGGCCATCCTCTGCTTTCCCAGGCCGTAAGTAGGGAACTGGATTAAAAGTGAGGCAGCTGAGACACAAACTGGAGCCCACATGGGATGCCATGTGGGTGGAGGATGAGCCTGTTGAGTCACCAGCCTGGTCCCAATACCAGTTCCTTAGGAAAAAAGGGCACATAGGCTTTCATTATAGAACTTAATTTCACAGCTGCACGATTGGCTTACCTTATGAAAACACAGCATCTGAAATTTATTATACATTGAGTAGCAGCAACTGGCCATGTTTTAATACCTGTAACAAAAAGGTCCTGGCCCTGTTGTGTTTAACAAGGAGCAGGTTTTTCCATTATGGGATGCTGGCCAAGCAATTGCAACACAAACTTCAAGCTCAATATCCTTGTTCCAAGGATGAGACTTATTAAGGCGAGGAGCATCCCTCTGGGCGAGCAGTCCAACTTTCTCTAGATGCCTCATAAAGCTGACCTGATGTCTTCCTAAGATCTTCCCAACTACAGTCGGCTCACCTGACCGAGGCAAGTACCGTTCACTCCTCCAGCTATCCTTCTGTGAAGAAATGAGAAGCCAACATTTACTAGCTCTGTTTCTGAGAGAACATAGGGGAAGACACCCAAGGCCACAGAAAAAAAGCCCAGTCACCCAGACGTCAGGGCAATCAGCAGAGGACACATTCAACTCTACACTGACCAAGACTTTTCACCTCTTCAAAGTTAGCATGCTAGAAACAGGAAAAAAAAACAAAGCAAAACAAAAACTCTGCCTTAACTGATTCTTCCTTCTTTTCGGTATTATTTAAGAAATCTCAAACTCTAGGCTTCTATGTGTTGCTCTGGAAAATAATGCATGGCTATTTGACTTCGGAGCAATAATCACTTCACAACTACAGCTTTAAGGATTTTTCTACTATACTCTCTTGGGAAAAAAGAAATGGTAAAGCCACTTGCATACATTACACAGCCTCTTGTCTGAAACCTTGTGCCACTGAGTTTCTAACAACTTGTACTTCTTAACTTCACATCAAAGCCAAATTCCATCAGCTCAACAAGAAGACACCGGCTTCTGGTATTTCTGCATTGCAAGATAATTAACATCTCTATGAAGTATATTCATGGTTTATACCTATGATTCTATTTCTGCTGCCCAAGATTTTCCCGTAATTTATGTCTTCACATATTGGTTCACAAGCATGTTCAGGTACCAGTGAGTGGCAGTCCTGGGGACAACACATAACCGTCCCTTCAGGAGCAGTAAAAAAGGCAGCTATGACACAGGGACAGTCCAGAGAAGACACTGCGCGGCCAAGATGCCAGGCAGAACTAACTCGTCTGCAGGAAGACTCCCATCTCCAGATTCTTCCTCAAAAAGGCCTCAAACTCCTGGGATTTGTTACCTGATCCTAAGAGGAGCAAAATCATCTTTACAATGCTGCCTTGAGTGTGAACACTATTATTACTTACACTAACATACTCTGGGACCTTGGATATGCAACAGTGCCCTGCACAGGAATGCTGGCTTCTGAGTTCCCTCTTAGCAGTTAAAAAGTAGGACGGCAGCACTTGTCCTGGTCCTGTGCGCCCACACTCTGAAACCTGTCTGAAATCACCTTTTCTCCACTGGTTAGGGAGGCGCTCCTCTGTCTTCTCCGACGCGACCCAACAGGTCTTCAATAGCCATGAAACGCATGGCTGGAATCATGCTGCACCCCACGCCGCCAGCTTACAACCCAACGTGGCACACTTTGTAGCTATCGTGTGATTTCCTGCTTTGTTTTGTAATGTAAGAGGTAGAAACAGAAGTGAGTTCCCATCCACAAACTTACTCCCCAAATGGCTGGCCAAAGTTAGGGGTGGGCTGCGGCCTGAAGCCTGGAGCCTAGCTCCTAGGCTGCCACTCGCTGAAGCAGAGAGGCGGAGCCAGGAACCCACCCCAGGGCGGGGGGGATGCTCACACCTGTGCTGCCCAGGCCTTCCCTTTGTGACCCCTTCCTACAGCCTAGCTAACATCTTCCACACAAAAACAACAAAACAAATCCCTTGTCTCCCTTCCAAAGCATTCCACATGCTACTGACGCACCACGACGGCCAACGGCAGCCCTAGTCAATGCATCTTGTCCTATCTGGCACAGAACTGAAGTACAAAGGAGTAGGTGGTAATTCCAATGTGAGCTTAAAGTCTCTTGTATTTGTAAAGGCCCCTGGATGAAAATGGCAGAGAACCCCACCTGCCTGTGCTCCTGGGCTTCACGTGTGTACAGGTTTTGGAAGTGAATACACGGATTTCACATGCACTGGATAGGATCCCCAGTGTTCTGGGCCCCCTTGAGGGTAAGCAGATAGAAACAAAATGCCCATGCACTGTCCTGTGCTTGGCCACCACCCCATCTACCAACAAAATGAACACACTGTCACAGGCTATCAGCCATTCTCCCTGCAGTTTTAGGAAGAAGTCAACAACTTTTCGCTCTCTTTGACCTAAAGCTAGGAGTTCCCAGGTCGGCTGGTTAGTAGTGTGTAAGCATTGATGTGGACATTCTCAAGGAACAAATATAAGTCTCCTTACTTCTAGCCTCTAGATGACCATTCTTGTTCCTTCCTCTTCTAGGATTAAAAGGATAAAAATGGCAGATAGGCTGTAAGGACCACAAAAAAGGCAAGGAAAATAAACCAAAGATGAAAATGTTGGCTGTGGAATACACACTCCAGCTCAGGGCAAGCACAGCACCTTGGCACTGCTGGGCTGAGGGGTGAAGAAAAATCGTTCTGAAAGGAAAATCTGCAGGAAAGGTTTATTATGAACGGGGTAAAATTACTCCAGTTTGTCCTGAAAATGGAATGGAATAAAATTTACTAAATAGCTATAGACTGTAACAGCATATAGTTCAGTAGCCCTTAACTTTAAGGTAATTTACTATTTTAGCTCAAAGAATGGCAGAAGTCTGATGCTAAAGAAATTTCATATTGCTTGCGTATAACGGTGTACACAATACAAACTAAAGGAATAGCTACCCACTTTTGTTTGGAAAGTTGGAGTAATCAACCTCTATTTTCATTTCCCATTTATAAGTCATTCATTTTATGAGCAAAGCCCATCTAATAATCTGAAACCTAAAGATTCAGTCAAATAAAAATTGTACAGAAGCATGAGAAATCCTACTCTAAAATGACTGCTGAAGACCTTGAAAACACCAGGATGGAATTAAAAGGCATCAGGCACAGGCAAGCACTACAGGTGTTACCACGATCTTGTGCTAATGTGGATTTCCGCCTTTCAACCTCATCTGAGCATTTGCTGATAGATTTTGGCTCTGTTTAAATCTCCTAACCTGAACCTCAAAGGGATCAGAAAGGAGAAACTAGAACTTCAGTGAACTGGGATCCTCTGGAGCCGTTTCCTAACACTGCTGGCTTGAAAACAAGGAAAGCCAAGAACCCAATCACAAAACCCAAACCTGATTCCGTGCTTGACCGCTCTATTCCAAATCACCCACGAGACTCCAGTGAAAACTAAGACCTGAACTGTGTAACTGGGCTGTTGCGTTGACATTTCGCCTAAGTGTCCTGGCAGAAGCACAGTAGAGTTTTACTTCATCTAATTCAGAAACTAGGGGAAAGAACCTATGCTTGGTCCCTTTCATTGCCCCTCCCTCTGTTAATGAGGGTTTTAAATCCAAGCAAAGGGGCTAGCTACGTATGCCAGTGTGCGAAGGGGCAATGTTGTAGTACCTCCCTTTCTACAACTTTTCCAGGCTTCCAACTACGGTTCCTCTAAACTCCGTGGGTTTTCACTTTCCTTTTCTCAGAAATCCTCCAGTGACCCCAGCAGGTTGGCTGCAGCTGCGACGGGTTTTGGGGTTGGGGGCATCCATGATCACTAGTAGTCTGAGGCAGAGCCCAGTGTGGCGTGGGACAGCCGAGCAGGGCTGCGAGAGGGGGGACACTGGGGTCCCAGGGCGGAGGAACCTGGCTGCCGGGCCACCCTACAGCCCGCGACCTCTCCCAGCGCCTGCTCCTCCGGGAGGGACTTACCTGCCCCAGCCAGGGCGCGAGCACGCGGGACCCGGCGCGGCTGCGGGGTGGAGGGGGCACCCCACATGCCTCTCTTTGCAGCCGGCCCCTACCCCCCCCCCACCACCGCCCGGCCTCGGGCGCCGTTACCTAACCGCCCAGCGAGACCCAAAGGGCGGCGCTCCGAGGGAGGGCGTGCGCCCAGGCCACGCCGGGCTGAGTCCGCGCGCGTCGGAGCAGCCCACGCGAGCCCGGAGCCCCGACGCCGACTGCGATCCGCCCCGGTTCCCCCCGGCCGCGCCCGCCCCTCTCCGCGCGCCCCCAGGCCCCGCCTCCAGCCGTCCATCCCTCCATCCCTCCATCCCTCCTCCACCCGGAGCCCCGATGCGGCGGCCGCTTCACCTGCCCATCCCGCGCCGCCCGCCCGCCCGGGGGCCGCCACGCGCCGCGCCCCCAGCCCCGGCCGTCCGCAGCCTCGCGCTCCACGCGCCGCGCACCCGCCTCCTGCCCCCCGCCCCGGGGCGCTCTACCTTGTACGAGTCCGTGGCCAGGAGGATGTTGAACTCGGCTTCTGCCGCAGCATTCATCTCGGGCCGGAGGGCAGGGGGCCGCGCGCCGCGAGCTCCCCGGCGCGGCTGTGAGGAAGGAGAAAAATGGGCTTCACCGCGCTCCGTTGCTTAAGTCACCGCTCGGTCGGTCGGAGCGGGGCGGGGAGGAGGGTGTGTGTGTGTGAGTGTGTGTGTGAGTGCGGGGTGGGGGGAGGACACGGAGCGGGAGGAGGGGCCGCGGGAGGCGGGCCCCGGGCCCGTGACGCGGCGGCGGCGGCGGCTCGCGTGCTCGCAGGCCAGGCGCTCCGGCGGCCTCCCCGCCGCGGCTCCCCCGCCCCCACCCCATCGCCGCGCCGGGGCCGGGGCCGGGGCGGGGCGAGGCCGCGCGTGCGCAGCGCGCAGGGGGCGGGGCGGGGCGGACGTGAGGCACGCGCTCTGGTTCGGGAAGCCGGGGGCGGCGGGGCGGCCCGGGCGCGTGACCCTGGCGTCCGCTTGGGTTTTCACGTCTCGGCCCGGTGCCGGAGGGCGGAGCGTGGGAGGGCACGGGGGTTGAGGGGAGGCGTGCGCAGCCTCGTCTCTCGTGCGCACTGCGAGGAGGCGGTTCGCCCTCCGTGGCCCGGCCTGTGCGTCCCCACCCCGGTCCCTGCCCGGTCTTTGGGTCGTCCCGCAGTCACGCCACACGGCTGGGGCCGGAGGAGCCTCCCACTCGCTCTGCCTGTCCTCCCGCTCAGTCCGCCCCTCTTCCCCCGCGGCGTCCCGAGTGCCTCACCTTTGTCTCCCGCTGGGACTAAGGGTCGAGCCGTCGGCCTCCATCGCTCCGGTGCTCCTAAGGCTCTGTGTTTTAGAGTCCCAGGCGTTGCGGGGAGGAGTGAGGTCTGCGTGGGGGGCCCCTTGGTTCTGGCGCGAGGATCTCCCCCGTTGCTTCTCCCTCCTGTAAGGGGGCGTTTGGACTCTGAGCAGTTGGGGAGTGGGCGGTCTCAGCGTCCCGGGGAAGCTGGGGGTTGCCTTCAGTCCTCCTTAGCTGTAGGCCGGTGAGGGACGTGATGGGATCCGGTGATCTCCCAGAAGCAAGAGGCCGAGGGCCAGAGGTGACTAAAACCTGTCATCGCTGGGAGTCGTCCTTAAGTCCTGGGAAGTGAACTGGTAACCCCCCTAAAACGCACAAGACAGTTGAGGACTTGACCCAGGTGCAGTGAGTTCCGCTATGTGATTGGGGGTTTGAAGCCAAATAAGATTCCTTTTGACTGCATGCTCAGTGGCTTATAAAGTTAATTAAAATTTAAATTTTAAAGAATGTAAGAAGCCTGGGGAAAAGTTTAATGAGAACAGGTACAGGACCACCCAGGGACTGCCCTTCCTGCTAGTAAGTCTCATTTTACTTAGGGACGGGAGTGATAGGGCTTGCACAGGATTAAGCACTGCGAGCGGAATTGGGATTCTTTCAAATAAAACCAGGTACACTCGGCTTTATCTAAGTGTAGGGACAGACCGAGCAAAGAGCATGGAGGAGTAAGACACCCTCTGGCACTCTCCGAGATACTAGATATATGTAATGAGTAACCTTAGGGCAGTTTTCAGCATGGAGGTTTCAAACAAGCGAGAGTTTTCTTTGTTTTTGATTGACCCTCCTGAGGATTACTGGGCAAGATTTTTTTCTTAAGGTTTTTTTGGGGGGGAGGGGCGGATTTTTGTGCATTAGTCAAGCCACACAAAGAAGCAAAAACAGGTTTATTTGATGCTTTTCTTAGCTTGAATTTATATAACCTACTTTACTTACAGGACAAATTCTTATTTGTTCAGCTTCCTGGAATCCATGTATCTATAACCGACCATTGTTCTGTGCCACTTTATGCAGAGAACAAGTAGGATTCTGATGACAAAGTGGACTTTGTTTACAGTGACTTAAAAAAAAATTTTTGCTCTTTAAATTTTTTTTATTACGTTGCATTATGTGACACGGTTTCATAGAGAATTTGATCTTTAAAAAAGATCTTTAATTTCTTTTAAAAAAGCATTTGAGCTTTAATTTCAACACACATGAAAACTATTAATGTTGTGTGTGCATTGACACTGCTTGTTGAATGCCGGAATCAGATCTGCTGAAGGGTTTTTAACTTCAGTCCCTGCAGTGAATGGGGGGAAAAATGACAATGAAGTCATGTTCCCAATAAGAAAAAAAAAATTGCACTTGCTGAAGAGAATATCAGTTTAAAATGAACTGAGGTATAGAACGAAAAATTTCAAAGCACAAAACCAAGGTCTCATATTTGGTATGACTTTCTCCACAAGACAACACACTAACATTTCTGCTCTTGAAATAGCAGCATGTGAGAGAGCCGACGGTGGAACAAATAATGTAGACTCGAGTGGGCCTTTCGCTGTTCCAAGCCCTGGATTATTCTCTCTTATCAAACATCTGCTGGCTCGTGGAGAACTGGACCCCAGCTCCCTCGTTCTAGTCCCTCAGAGAACCACGACCACCTGTGGCTCCTGTGCAGAGCAGGTGAAGTGGGTGTTTTGCACCACGCCTGCTCCTACACCTTTGTCTCAGCTGCCTCCAGTATTCCAATCTGATTTCGCCTTGGTCAGAAGTGCCTGAAGAGCAGGTGTGGAGCTCACTGAGCTGTGACCCAGGTGAAGGTCCTACCTCTCTCCAAGACTCCTAGACTTAGCCACTTATCACCGATTGTCACAGAGACAGATGTACATGAGCAGCTTTTAAAAATGATTTACAAACCTTAAACTTCTCCAGCCCTCTGAAGACCTCCCAAGAACTCTTGTTTCGGAGAAGAAGGCTTCCGCTACAAAAAGACGTCGTTCTTCCTGGATCCAGTTTATCAGCGCTGCAGTAAAATAATGACTTAGCTTGCTGGGCCCTTTTAAAAACTGTACAGAGACGCTCGGCAAACTACTGTGTGTTGGTCTAAAAGTAGAAAGGTGACAGCGTAACTGTGACCCACAGTCAGTAAGAATTAATGCTCACCCACAGTTGTCCACAATGTCCTTTTAGCCTGACTGACTGGCACTCTGCTGACTGGTTGTGTGCTGGGCACAGCAGAACAGCTCATCTGTGATGCCAAGTGCTCTTCCAAACTCACGGCATGTAGGATGCCCTACCAATGCATGTATACCATGCGACAGTTCTTAGTTTTCATCTCCTCTAGTTTTGTTTAGTCCCCATAACAAAGCACACACTTCTCTAATTCTAACCAAATAAATTGGGAAATAAGAGTAGGAAGCGAAAAGGAAAGCATCAAATTCATCTTTAAAACTAGTAGGAGAGGGCATTATGGTACAGGCAGTTAAGCTGCCTCTTTGGACCCCTGTATCCCATTTCAGAGTACCTGGGGTTGAGTTCCACCTAAGCTTCCGGCTTCCTGCTAATGTGCAGCTGGGCCAGGGGTGGAGGAGGGAAGGCAGCGGGTGATGGCTCAAGTTCTTGGATTCTTACCTAAGCCAGCTTTGGCTGTTGTGGGCGTTTGCGGAGTGAATTGGCACATGGAAGGTATTTTTGTGTATGTATATGTGTGTGCCAGTGTGTCCCTTAAAAAAACAAACTTGAAATTAACAATAAGGAACTTGTGGTGCAGCATGTCAAATCGTTACCTATGACAATATCCACACTTCTGATCCAACTCCCTACTAATGTACCTGGGAAAGCAACAGAAGATAGCCCAAGTGCCTGGGCCCCTGTTTCCGGCATGGGAGACAGGGATGGAGTTCCTGGCTCCTGGCTTTGGCCTAATCCAGCCCTGGCCATTGTGGCCATTTGGAGAGTGAACCAGCAGATGGAATATCTCTCTTGCTCTTTGTCACTCTGCTTTTCACATCAACAAATGAATAAAGAACTCTCTTAAAATGTAATATAATAAAGTAAGTGCACACATGTTAGGATGCTACAGTGTTACATATCATCATTATTTATAAATTTCGCTGATGGTCACTTGTTTAAGCCTCAATGACCCGAATCAATGACTGAGATAATAAGACTTAAGTTAGAGCTATAAAGGAATGCCAAGGACTTCTCATTCAGTGTTTCCTAAAAGTGACCTGTTTATCATGGATGGTACATGATAATGAGTGTCAGTGGCAACCAAATATGCATCTTTGAGTGATTATTTTTAATGAGTATAAGAAAAATACAGCTGGCGTATAAATCTGATTTTTCCTGGGCACTGCTACTTAGGATGAAGCCAAAGTAGGTTGACAAAACAAGTGAGCCTTGCTTGTTTTCCTAGCTGAGGAGCTGCTTCACATTGTCCTCATACAACTGGTTTTGCTGAAGATGTTGAACACACAAGGCTGCAGATTAGATTATTTCATTTACAGTAAGTTCCAGAAAAGACAACATATAGTAAAAGAAGACTGGAGGCTTCCAGAGGTGGGGGTTAAGAGAAGTTGATTCTGACTATTTAGCCTGGCAGCTAAGACATCCACGGATCACAGTGGCATGCCTGGATTGAAGTTGCAGCTACAATGGCAAAGGGATGTAAGAAAATTGGATACAAATGGTGGTGATAATCATACATTAGTCAAAATCCACTGAATTCTAAATTCAGTTAAAGCTGATGAACTCTATATAAATGTTATCTTAAAGACTGCTGTTCTTGAACCATGTAAACATTTCCGCTCTTTTCCCTATGTGCTTCATGGGATTTGGACGTGATCATCATTTTCTGTTAGTTCTTCAAGTTGCAACACTGGTGTCAGTCTGAAAATACTTGTTATTGAGTAGGAAGCAGGAAAAAGAGCCAATACCGGTATTACTTCATTCAGTAGAAACATATAAATGTCTAGTGTATAGGCAGATTGCAGAAGCGAGCACTAAAGGGTTTCAACGAGTAATGTTGCCGGTTCTCAGTTCTTTCTCAAAGCTGTTGTGAAATGACTGGGATCTACAATGCAGTGGGAAAACAGAAAAGCAGGAGTCCTTAAACTCGTTTTTGACTGTGGGACCAATAGAGAATTATATGCATATATATAACCCTTGACTCCAGAGACAGTGTTGGAGGAATGATTAAGGTCTGGATAAAGGTTAACCAATCCTTAGCCAGCTTCCACACCCTAGGCAAGAACAGCTCACTACATGTGAAACCTGGAGTTTCAGCCTTGCATTTTTAAATTGGTTATTCCACCTTTCTTATTCACTTATTTATTCCCCTCACAGCTTACCCAGCCCTAACTCTCAAGACCTTTGTCTCATATG